TGTACAAGAAAAAGAAAGTGTGTGTGTGTGTGTGTGTGTGTGTGTGTGTGTGTGTGTGTGTGAGAGAGAGAGAGAGAGAGAGAGAGAATTATAAAAGAGGAATTCAAACAAATAACCAATATATGTAGGGAAAGGGCCTGAAAGGCTAAAGCACAAAATGAACTCAGACTAATTTTATGTTAGTAGAAAAGGGAAGAATAAGGGAATGTTAGGGCCTCTTCTTGGAAAAGTGTTAAATATTACTGTTTAAGCAGCCTGACATCAATACCAGGAAGGATTCAGGCGCAGATGTGTCTGTAATCACATAGAAAAGTATTTTGTGATGACTTAGAGTCAACATGGGTTTCTCAAAATTTGTCATGCAAGATTAATCTTATCTCTTTTTTTTTTAATATGAGTTACAGGCTTGGTATATGCAGAGAATGCAGAGGATGTAGCATATCTTTATATCAGTAAGGCCTTTGACATGGTGCCTCATGTTCTTGCAAATGAACCAGTAAAATGTGGGCTAGATAATACTACAATTAAGAGTATTTGTAATTGGTTGTTCACCAATGTTTCCTCTTCATCCTGGAATGAGGTGCTGCAAGTTCTATCCTGGACCCAGTGCTGTTCAACATATTACTAATAACTTGTATGAAGATTTAGAGGGCATGCTTATCAAGTTTGCAGATGACACCAAATTAGGAGGGATAGCTAATACTCCAGAATATAGGATCAGAATTCTTCTGTCTCTGATGCTGGCCTTTTCCTCTCATCTCTCAAATGCTACCTAGATGCCGTCACATTCCAGTTTCAGCTCAATGGAAGACCACCATGTTTCTAACACTCTTTAGTTAAGAAATTCCTAAGGGGTTGCTGGAATTTGCATCCTATGGTATTGAGAACAAGTCCTGCTTGGAGTTAAATCTAGTGTTATCCCAGCTATTTCGGAGGTCCTTTGAACCGATGTCTTCCTCTGACCTTCATTTATTCACTTGGAAGACTGCATTCCTGGCATTGCTTACCATGAGGGCATGGGAACTTTGTGCTCCCTGTGTCAACCAGGCTTATCAAGGTTTTCACAATGACAAGATTGTCCGTAGGCTAAACATTTCCTTTTTGCCCAAAGTGGTGTCTTCATTCCACCTGAACCAGGATATTATACTGCATCCACTCATGAAGATCACTCTGACCAAAAGGTCATGAGTTCGAAGCCAGCCCGGGTTGGAGTGGGTTTCCAACCAATTGTGTGTAGCTTGTTGTCGACCTTTGCAACCAGAAAGACAGTTGCATCTGTCAAGTAGGAAAATTAGGTACCACCTTAAAGTGTGGGGAGGCTACATTAACTGATTTATCAGGCCATAAAGAAGACTCCAGCAAAGCATTCCAGCGGGGAAGCATGCGGGGAATGCGGAAGTGCTTCATCAGCGTCGCAGATGGACGGTGAAAGCGACAGCTCCCCTGGCGGCTAGAAAAAAGTTAAATAGCCTCTGTGTATGTCTGTATATGTTTGTATGTCAAAAATTGGCATTGAATGTTTACCATATATGTGTACACTGTAATCCGCCCTGAGTCCCCTGCGGGGTGAGAAGGGCGGAATGTAAATAATAATAATAATAATAATAATAATAATAATAATAATAATAATAATAAAGAATCTGACTACAGTGTTCCCTCACTTATCATGGGTGTTCCATTCCAGGACCACCCATGATAAGTGAAAATGTGCAAAGTAGGGACAATACACACACACAGTATTTACAATCCTTTGTGTGTGTGTGTGTGTGTGTCTGCACACACACACAGAGTATTTACAATCATGGCCAGTGGGCACCCTTCCGCTGGCCATACTGCTTGCAGGGGGATTCTTCCCAGAAGCCCCCTGCGTGGCAGGAAGTTTCCCACTGCTTGGCCAGCTGGCTAACAGTGGCAAGCCCCACCCTGCCCTAAGATCAGCCAGGGATGGGTTCCCCACCTCACCCTGGCAGCCTTTGTAGGGCTGCCCAAGGCCTTCACAGGGCTCCGTGGCCCTGGCAGCCCTGCAAAGGCTGCAGGTGTGAGGTGGGGAACTTGGCCCTGGCCAACCCAGGGGTGGGGCCTGTGGCCGGTTGGCCAGCTGGCCAAGTGGCGGGAAACTTCCCACCGAGCAGGGAGCTTCTGGGTAGAAGAAACCCCTTGCAAGCAGCATGGCCGGCAGGAGGGCACCCACCGTCGCAAAGGCCCTTGCCTAGTAAGTCAGGCAAGGCATTTCTGATTGTAAATCCACAAAATATATAAAAATAAAAATATTAATTCTAAACCCTAACCACAAAACAGTGAGTCCGCAGAAAGCGAACCGCGAAACAGCGAGGGAACACTGTATATGTTTTAGCCTTCTACATTAATAGTACTTTCCGTTCCAGACAGAGCCAGAAAGTTTACATCTGTTATTCATCTTTGAAACTTGGACTGCAAGTATTCACATAGTAATGTTTGAAATGGGTGGTTTTGACGATCTAACTGAGTTATCGTATACCGGAATTGTGGAGCAGCTGGCTGAGTGTCAGCTGCATTAAGATCACTCTGACCAAAAGGTCATGAGTTTGAAGCCAGCCCGGGTTGGAGTGTAGCCTGTTGTCGACCTTTGCAACCCAAAGACAGTTGCATCTGTCAAGTAGGAAAATTAAGTACCACCTTAAAGTGTGGGGAGGCTTAATTAACTGATTTATGAGGCCATAAAGAAGACTCCAGCAAAGCATTCCAGCGGGGAAGCATGCGGGAAATGTGGAAGTGCTTCATCAGCAGCGCAGATGGACGATGAAAGCGACAGCTCCCCTGGTGGCCAGAAAAAGTTAAATAGCCTCTGTGTATGTCTGTATATGTTTGTATGTCAAAAATTGGCATTGAATGTTTGCCATATATGTGTACACTGTAATCCGCCCTGAGTCCCCTGCGGGGTGAGAAGGGCGGAATATAAAAGCTGTAAATAAATAAATAAATAATGAACTGACTAAGGAGGACCTACCTGCATGTGTACAAGTACAGCTCTATGGTTCCAGCATGTTATAGTCTTGATACTCAATAATACCTCCTTTGGAAGGGCAGTGTTGTTTTCATGCTTGTATAAGGTTTCGTATATTTATGTTTGAAATAATGAATAGAAGGCTTGTGTATTATAACATGACACTCCCACCTTCTGTATTTAGTAGTTTGCTAATCTATTTGTGTGACTCGGAGAGATACAAAGAAGGAGGACGGGTTGTATACCTGTAACTGTGATTTCCCAAGTGGTCACCTGTGAACTCAAACAACCCTACCCATCCTCCTTTTGTCGTGTCTGCTTTCTTGGTTCTTGGATGCTGCTGTTACAGCATCCTTGGAATTCAGAGTTTAAGTGAGAAGTGCCGAGAAAATTCAGAATAGTACATTGCATGAGCTCAGATAATCTGTATGAATTCACAGTTGTCAAAGAATCACAGTTACAAATATGCAATCTGCCCATTTGCAGTTAATGAGATGGTTTAGCATAACATCAGAATAGCACTTCATGCTTCCAGTGCTATCAAGGGAACACGCTTATCATTTAGCTTTTACTCGCTTACAATTGGCATGGAGGAAGTCCAGAACTTCTCTGCATCTGACATCTGGCACTTCTGGGATCATGTTCTTTAGTCACAGCCCTTATTAAAGCAGGCAAATAGAAACATTACTTTATGGAGTAAATTATTTATATAGCAAAATCTGAGCAAGGCTTGGTATGAATCTAGGAGCAAATCAAATCCCTGAAAGATTCAGAGTTGCTATTTCTGCATATGTGCTTTTTTTGAGAGACGTAAGTAATCTTAGCACCGGGACAGTTTGTTTTGAAATTGTCAGTCTCTGCAATTTAACAAGAAATTATTGATGAAACTTGCTGTAGTCTGTGGAGCAGATTTTTAAATAAAGATATTTAGGTCATCATATGCCTGTTTGGTAAAACATAGAAAATCACATGGTTTTTTAGGAATTATTCTCTTGTTTACATTATTTCTTTACTCTCTAGTGGTTATGTAGATCACTGGCATATTTCTAACTTTGTGCTATTCATATTTACTTTAATTCATATTTACTTCAACTTGACTTCTCCTGCTCCTACTATTATGGGTTCTAACATTATCTACACAGGCATAGAAAGATTATCTACAAAATAGTTATCACAATTATTTATTATTTATTTACAGCTTTTATATTCCGCCCTTCTCACCCGCAGGGGATTCAGGGCGGATTACAGTGTACACATATATGGCAAACATTCAATGCCAATTTTTGACATACAAACATATACAGACATACACAGAGGCTATTTAACTTTTTTTCTGGCCGCCAGGGGAGCTGTCGCTTTCATCGTCCATCTGCGATGCTGATGAAGCACTTCTGCATTCCCCGCATGCTTCCCCGCTGGAATGCTTTGCTGGAGTCTTCTTTATGGCCTCATAAATCAATTAATTTAGCCTCCCCACACTTTAAGATGGTACCTAATTTTCCTATTTGACAGATGCAACCGTCTTTCGGGTTGCAAAGGTCGACAACAGGCTACACACAATTGGTTGGAAACCCACTCCAACCCGGGCTGGCTTCAAACTCATGACCTTTTGGTCAGAGTGATCTTAATGCAGCTAACACTCAGCCAGCTGTGCCACAATCCCGGTGCTATATAATACAAATCCTAGTATTATATAGTTTGTATAGAAGCCACATACCAAAGTACTGTAATGCAGTTAGACTAGAAATGTACATGACATGTTAGTAAACCTGTTTAATCAAATACGGCATTTACACTTGACGCATAACTAGGGTGGGGTTCTTGCTAAATAGATGCTTAATGCTTAAACAACATTAAAATCAACCAAAGATATGCCATATCTCAATTAATTTTTGAAATGGATAAATTGAGGCCTGTTTCTGTATTATTTTTGACATTTTTTCTGTGAAAAATGCCGTATCATGTGATTACATTCTATAATCCCATTTTAATAACGACTTCCTTCTTTCCTGTTTAGATTGGTGCATATGACCAACAAATATGGGAAAAATCTGTAGAACAAAGAGAAATCAAGGTAAAATTTCAGCATTCCTTATTGCTTTATGGCAGTGAATTTCAAACCTCCTATTTTTTAAATCCCATCTTGTTTGTTAGCTTTGGTTTGGAATTCCTATTGACAGAATTTAGCATAATATGAACAAAGCTCTTAAACCTAACTCTTTTCCTACGGAAGCAATGTGCAACCAAAGCTTTTTCAGTACTTGCTTCCCACAATTTATTATAAGGAACAGAAACTAAAAGTAGATAATTTTTGTTTAAATTTTGTCTATTACTTGTCTTATTGAGGAAACTACATTAAGTGCTGAGGAGCCATATAATTTAAAGAAATACAATTTGAAAACTATTGATTCTATTGTGTTGTAACTCAGAATTTGCCTTGAAAAAGTCAATAATATGAACAGTTGGTTGGATCCAGACTTAATCTTACTTAGAATTAATTCACTGAAATCTATGGAAGCTGTTAGCTGTAGTTGACTTAAATTGCATTTACTTTTACTTAGCCTGTGGCTGTGATAAGTATTTGTTGCTTGTTATAGTAACAATAATATGTTACTTAATTAGTTCTTCCATAGCTGCACCATTTGGGATTGTACTGAGCCAGTTTTTACTCTACTTTTGAAATGAAAGATTTGCACAAGAACAGAGTGGAGTGTGGGGGTTGCTTGGGAAATGTTCATCTTATGGATTAAACCTATCTTAGTATTTTATTTTATTTTCATTTCCTGTGTTCAACTTTGTATTAATTTGCAGTTTATTTTTATTTTATTTTATGTTATTATTTGCTGTGTATTTGATTTTGATCTGTTGTAATTGTTGGGCTTGGCCTTATGTTAGCCACACCGAGTCCCCTTTGGGCAGATGGTGGCGGGTATAAATAAAGATATTATTATTATTATTATTAACTGTGCATTATGTAGGTCCAAAATCTTTGACATTTTTGGTGTGTAGGTGTTGGTTCTTACGTAAATGAACCTGCCTTTAAGAGAGGGAAATGTACTAGATCTCTCTTTGAGGAAATTGCATATTCCAGTATTTTAATAAAATGCGATAGTTGGCATTGTATTAAACTTTGCTTGCCATCTACCATGTCATAGTATGCATCCTCTTATGTTTTTATGTGAATTTTATCAGAAATCATTGGCTTTCACGTGGTTACTTTTATAGTTCCAGTTTACTTTTCCTCCTTTTTCATCTTATTGTTTTGAACAGTTTATTAAATTGGTAAGTAATTGATGATGAATTTTTGTGTTAAGCAAAGCAGCTTTTGTAGATTAGCAGTGTTTCTGCATCTTAGTGTGACTAACAAAATCCCATTACTATATGGTAAACTAATTACTACCCCAAAAGCCGCTAATATTTTAACATCCTTTCTATATAAGAGATGTATACAAACCACCCTGGGCCCCTTTGGGGAGATCGGGCAGTACATAAATAAAATTATTATTATTACTGCTACTACTACTATATGATATTAAGACCGACTGCACTCAGTGACTTACATGTTCACAGGGTTGCACTGTTAGGTTTACTTTCATACACTCTTCTAAAGACACTGCAAAATAGAATGTGATTATAATTTACTCTGCCTTTTTGTTGTAAAGAATCAAAAGCATCCTGGAAGTGCTTCCAGATGTTGACTATTTTAAAATGTTTTTATATTAATATTTTTTCATACATTTTTCATAAGTTGAGTTTTCCAAACTGCATCTTTTCATTTTTCAGGGAAGGAATGGGAGGAAGCCATTGGGTTTTCAAATAATTGCACTGACAAAAAATATTCCTGTAAAATCATTCCTAATGAATTAAGTGTTAGGCATATACTGTTGGGACCCTAATGGCTTTTTCTACAAGTGCCAAAACGAGATTCCTTGTTAACAGACATTAAGACACCTTTGTAACTTTGCTGCTAACCGATAACTCGTCTCTGTACAAACGAGTATTTAAAAATGCATCTGCCCATTCATTCATTCTTTTGCTGCTTGCCTGCATGCACCTTTTTCAGCATGAAGCTGATAGCCACCGCTGTACTTTGTGGTGGTGCCTGATGAAACATAGGTGGCCGACAGGTAAATGTACATTATGTTTTCTAGCAGAAAATGTGCATTATGTTTTCTAGCAGAGAGAGAGAAAGAAAGAATGAGACAAGACTAATGAAGTGCTGTGCCTGCTGCATGTGCATCCATTCTCTCTCCTGGAAGAAGAAAGAATGCACAGTAGTGGTGGAATTGGGAAGTTGGCAACTGGAGAAGTGGGTGGGCAATGTTGGCTCTTCAGTATTTATTAGCAAGGTTGCAATAGGAGTCATTAATAGTTTGCTCCTGATGAAATATATAAGCACTTCAGCCTTCCTTAATACAAGGTGCGGCAGCATAACTTTCTTTTTCAAAATGTGCGCCATTCAGTTGGTTGAAGACGTAGCGAAGTGCTAGTGGTCTCATTCGAGAGGCGGGAGTATAAAGTTTTGTCCTGACACAGTTTGGTCACCATCATGCGTTGAAACAGTGAGGAGTGTACTTCTGCCGTTGAGGTCTACTTTTAGGGAAAGGGAGAGATAAAAAACTAATTCGGCCAATTCGTGAACAAACGCTGAGGAAAATTCCAAAATGTGCTCCTGACTTGGTAAACATGGGTTCCAAGGTAGACGGTCCTCCGGGATTGAAGGTGGTGCTGTTGAACGCCAGATCTGTCAATGGGAAAACATCAACCATCCAGGATTTGATACTGGAGGAAAAGGCAGATCTGGCGTGCATCACGGAGACCTGGTTGGATGAGGCTGGAGGGGTGAATCTCACCCAGCTTTGCCCACCAGGTTATGCTGTGCAGCACCAACCGAGATCCGGGGGGCGGGGAGGCGGAGTTGCAATAGTCTATAAAGATTCCATCTCCTTGATCAGAGGCCCAGCCTTACAGTCGACCTTGTTTGAATGTGTCCACCTGAGGCTAGGGGACCGGGACAGAATAGGGCTGTTGTTGGTGTACCGACCACCCCGCTGCACCTCAACAGCCCTACCTGAGCTTGCAGAGTTGGTCTCAGGCCTGACATTGGAGTCCCAGCGGCTTGTGGTGCTGGGGGACTTCAATGTACATGCGGAGTCCACTCTTTCAGGAGCGGCTCAGGACTTCATGGCCACCATGGCAACTATGGGGCTGTCCCAACTAGTATCTGGCCCTACCCACGGTGCTGGACACACACTTGACCTGGTCTTCTGTCAGGGCTGGGAAGAAGGTGGCGGTGTGGAGGAGCTGTCAATCTCTCCTTTGCCATGGACCGACCACCATCTGATCAGGTTTAGACTTGTTGCAACATCTAACCTCCGCAGGGGTGGTGGACCCATTAAGATGGTCCGCCCCAGGAGGCTTATGGATCCAGAAGGATTCCTGATGGCTCTTGGGGATGTTTCCGCTGCCTTGGATGGTGATTCTGTCGATGCCCTGGTCGCTCACTGGAATAGGGAGCTGACTAGGGCAATAGACACGATTGCTCCGGAGCGCCCTCTCTTAAGTCGCCGAGCGAAACCTGCCCCTTGGTTCAACGAGGAGCTGGTGGAGCTAAAGCAAACAAAGAGATGGCTAGAGAGCGTGTGGAGGAAAGAGCCCAGCGAGCCAAACCGAACACGTCTACGCCTTTATCTAAGGGCGTATGGCGCGGCAATAGAGGCCGCGCAAAATGCTTTCTATTTGGCCAATATTGCGTCCGCAAGGAACCGTCCGGCAGAACTGTTTCGAGTAGTCAGAGGGTTGTTGAATCCCACCTCGAGTGGGTCCCCTGACGACTCGGCAGCGCGCTGTGAAGCATTTGCTCAGTACTTTGCGGACAAAGTCGCTTTGATCCGCGCGGGCTTTGACACCACATTAACTGCGGTCTCTGAGGATGTAACTCAAGCATCTGCTTGTCCAGTTTTGTTGGATTCGTTTCAATCTGTTCAACTCGACGAGGTCATCAGGGTTCTGGGAGAGGCGAGACCTACCACATGCATCCTAGACCCCTGCCCTTCCTGGCTGGTAAAAGAAGCCAGAGGGGGTTTGGCAGAGTGGGTAAAGGTGGTGGTTAATGCCTCCCTTCGGGAAGGCAAGATTCCAGCCAGCCTAAAACAAGCTGTAATTAAACCGCTGTTGAAAAAACCATCACTAGACCCCACTCAATTCGTCAACTTTCGGCCAGTTTCCAATCTCCCCTACTTGGGCAAAGTCCTGGAATGTGTGGTGGCCTCGCAACTCCGGGAATTCCTGGTGGACACGGACTATCTAGATCCGGCACAGTCTGGCTTTAGGCCGGGACATGGTACTGAGACAGCCTTGGTCGCCTTAGTTGATGATCTGCGCCGGGAACTGGACAGGGGGAGTGTGTCCCTGTTGGTTCTACTGGACCTCTCTTCGGCCTTCGATACCGTCGACCACGGTATCCTTCTGGGACGCCTCGCGGGAATGGGTCTTGGGGGTACTGCCTTGCAGTGGCTCCGGTCCTTTCTCGAGGGTCGCTCCCAGAAGGTGTCACTAGGGGACTCCTGCTCGACTCCTCGGCCATTGCACTGTGGAGTCCTGCAGGGCTCAATACTGTCCCCTATGTTGTTTAACATTTACATGAAGCCGTTGGGAGAGATCATCCGGAGTTTTGGGGTACGATGTCATCTGTACGCAGATGATGTCCAACTCTATCACTCTTTTCCACCTACCACTAAGGAGGCTGTTCAGGTCATGAACCGGTGCTTGGCCGCTGTCTCGGACTGGATGAGGGACAACAGATTGAAACTAAATCCAGACAAGACAGAGGTACTCCTGGTCAGTCGTAAGACCAAACAGGGTACGGGGTTACAGCCTGTGCTGGACGGGGTCACACTCCCCCTGAAAGCTCAGGTACGCAGTCTGGGAGTTCTCCTGGATTCATCGCTGAGCCTGGAACCCCAGGTCTCAGCGGTGGTCAGGGGAGCTTTCGCACAATTAAAACTTGTGCGCCAGCTGCGTCCGTACCTTGGGAGGGCTGACTTGGCCACGGTAGTACATGCTTTGGTTACA